GATAGACTGAGAAGGTATCAATGTCCGATAATTGGAAAAATAATTACGGGATTTCATCATGAGCTGAGATCGATTAGAGAAGCACTGGAAAACAACAACAACTAGGACAGCTGTTTCATCAGCCTAGTTTGGGTGTCCCATTCAGCAGTAGGCACCCATCGGGGTCAGCTCACGATGAAATCCTGAAACCAATCAAATCAAATCCCTGAAAACCAACGCTTGGATATGAACAACACTAAAGACTAGTTGTATTCAGATAGACAGGGCAGGCACTTACCTGGGTTCTTCTAATGGGAAGTGAGTCGTGATCAGTGGGGTATAGCAGGTCGGGTGGGTGTGAGAACAAATACTCACCACCGATGACATTGGCTAGTGCCAGTCCGTGAATCGGCAGAGGTTGGAATTCATTGGCTGGCAGTTGAATCGGGCGGGCCCCAGTGTCTGAATGGTCTGCAAGCTCACCTAATAACCGGAAGATGTCGTGGGTTCGGGCCCTTGTGACTGGTGAGTACTCCTGAAGAGGAGTCCCAAACTAGGATGATTAAGCAGCTAACTGTCCGTTACTCCCTCCGCTGCTAGTTTCCAATGGTTGCCTAACCAATGTCAGCTCATGATTAAATCATGTGACCAGTCAAATCCCTGCAAATGAACACTGGAACAATACTTCTAGACGTTAATCTGATCTACCAGTTAATTAACCTGGCAACATCTCGTTTCAAAAGTACATATCGCGCAAGGTACAAATGAGGATGTCAGACAGTCAGACAGTGTCACGACCGGATCGGAAAAGCAACACAAAAACATTCATCACTCTAACTGAAATCACTGAGGAAATCTTATGCACTCATTCAGCTTTATAAGGAAAAAGCTTCTCCGGATTTCGAACACCGCTGGTACTCGGCATCAGATTGATATGTTGGCTCATGTGGGCACTGATATAAGAATAGAAGTTGTGCACTGTGGTAGACTATAATTCCATTATGGATAAAATTTATTTCGATAAAGTCTTAGTGTTATACAGTAATATTTATTGATGACTTTACCGGAACAATTTATCATTGCTGATAATCATATCAAGTTACTCACACACTTTCCAAATTCCTTTATATAATTCCATTATTTTTCATCGTTTGACTTGATTAGTAGTAGTATTTTCCATATTTTCGCTATGAGTGATGAGTCACTCCTACTGAACGTGTTGCGTGTTGATTCTATGAACACAGATTTAGTAATCAGCCTCTCTCTCTCCACCTACCTATATTACTTCTTAGAATTTTAACCCTCTCCCACCCTATTGTGTTATTGTGTGTTGATGCATGCAGTGCAATAGCTGAGTGCTTTTTCTAAATTGCTTATCTTCGTGCGGGTCAATCATTCTGCACTCAGCTGAATTCTTATGTTCCGACAGTCTGCCTACTCCCGATCTACTCGTTTGACCTATGTAGTTGACTTAACTCATACTCATTGCAAGGTGTTGTGTAAAATGTATTATTTTGTCTAGTTGGGTCAACCTAAATGGTTCTTTAACCTACAGAGTTTGAAGGTTCGAATGCCACCCTAATTACTGCCTTATTAAGAATCCTACGTACTGTCTCAGATGTCCCCTCCTTATATGGTATAACAGTAGATGCCTTATATTCTCTCTTATTATGTTATTATTATTAGTTTCACCATTTTTTAATTTTGCTTTTAACCTTTTTCGATCTTAAAGTTTATGCAGGTGGCGATAAGAATAACAAAGGTGTTAATATGTGTATATGTAGACAATTCAATAAATAAATTAGGTCAAATCTTAAAAGTTAAGTAATACTAAAGGTGAAGTGGACAGATAATCAGAGTTTAAATAAATATCGTAAAAGTACGAGGGAAATGGAAAATAAGAAAGGGTGGGAGGGTTTTGATTAGAATTCACCTAGATAACTTTGAAGGCACTATTTCTGTCCACTAGGTGACCGCTATCAATCAAATGAGCCAAAATAGAACTTCATATGGATTTTATTTGGCCTTTTCCAAACCTTGAAGGAAGATGCTTATTAATGCGTTTGTTAAGCTGTCTAGTTGTTCGCCCTATATAGCTCTCTCCACAGGAGCAACTAAATTTGTTAAATTTGTAGAATTGCCTACAAATACACATATTACTGCCTTTGTTATTTTTATCGCCACCTGCATAAACCTGTTTTGATTCTCCTAATGAATTTTATAAGATGGTTAATTATATAATACCAACGCTTCGTCTTCTATCTCTTTCATTTCATAATTTAGGTTTTCAGATGTACTACTAAGTGTTGTTATTGCTCGGTATGTTAGTTACTTAACTAAGCATGCCTTTACAGATAACGGATGAGATGAATTAGAGTCTAAATATCTATTAGATTACTGGATCTGTGTTCATAGAATCAACACGCAACACGTTCAGTAGGAGTGACTCATCACTCATAGCGAAAATATGGAAAATACTACTACTAATCAAGTCAAACGATGAAAAATAATGGAATTATATAAAGGAATTTGGAAAGTGTGTGAGTAACTTGATATGATTATCAGCAATGATAAATTGTTCCGGTAAAGTCATCAATAAATATTACTGTATAACACTAAGACTTTATCGAAATAAATTTTATCCATAATGGAATTATAGTCTACCACAGTGCACAACTTCTATTCTTATATCAGTGCCCACATGAGCCAACATATCAATCTGATGCCAAGTACCTCGTTCGAGTCAATCAACGGGGTGGCCGAAACTGAATTGAACAAAGGGAACAGCTTTCAGCTGCTCGTTTCTGGAGAACGTGTTAGGTCATAGACTGATTGACCATACCAGTTAAAGGAGACAATAAAAACCACTAGCAAGAGACGGTTAGTTTAGGACTCCTCTTCCAGCAGTGCACACTTATGACCTCAGGATCCAGACGCTTTAGAAATTACAGGTCAAACTTGTTCGTGGCGACCAAACCGCGCACTAGGAAATATAGCCAAGTTATAATCATCGCTGACCATGCACATGGTCCGAGGTTCGATCCCCTGCCAACGCACACCTGATATCTATGGTCGGCCTGCAGAATTTGGGATACCAACGTCACATGCTGAAAATTCCATACCTGTACCAAAAAATACGGCGTGGAATCAAGCTGTAATCAAAAATAAAAATAAAAATTCCAACTTATACACATTCACATTATATGTAACGCGCGCAACTGCGACTGACAGCGAAAAGTTATCAGTGAGTATTTGGACTAACATCCGATAACTTCAGTCAGTCAACTTCATGCTCCTGTAATCCATCAATCAGTGAGTCAGTCGAACAAGTAAGTGCTCGATTAAGTCCTCGGTTTGATCCCCCACCCACCCTATGGGTAGACACTACTCAGTTGGTGATCAGATTTATTATTTAAAAATGCCTTTGTTCTATAGATAGGTTCAAAAGGCCTATAAACATCAATTTTACTTCTTGTCTCTACAATATGGTGCTCAACAGACGAGCTAGACCTTCTGTTCTCACCATTACTGGGCTCTGAACAGGACGGTATCTTAATTGTCACTGTTTTCACCCTATTCAGTACAAAAAAGTCTTAGTGTGAGTGTGAGGTGCCTCATCAGTAGAATCCAACGAATATGCACTTAAGACACGCTTAATGATTAAAAAAGAAAAGTGACACAAACTTTGGTTGATAATGATTGTCCAGACAAGTTGATAAGGAGTGGAACACCAAGACACAATCTTCAGCCTCCCACTAAGAACGACAAGTAAATCCAGCTACCTTACGCATGAGTGATCATAGCAGTTTGGTAACTCCACAAAGACTGAACGCTGCGGTTGGTTAAAAAATATTTTATGCGCTTATAATTGAGAATGTGAAGCCCGTATATTCATCTAAACATTTAGAAAATACGTAAAATGACGTCACATGCCACTGTGTTTACCAATTTTGAATGTATGTGTGGACACGCATACATAGGAGGGGAGACTCATCGACCTCTGCAAGTAACGGCTTCAGAGGATATCATCCCTGAATGGTTTCAGAAGCAAATGAAATCTCCAGAACCCATCAATAACTTTTGTTCTGTTTATTGACAATTATTTTAGCAAAATGTGTGTGTTTGTACGTGTGTGTGGGGGGGGGGACTGTGCGTGTGTGTCGATCAATATATTTTTTGAGTGGCGACTGCTCTATTTACCAAAAAAATTCAATTCATATCATTTGGTTTATCGAAATTCAATTCATGTTGAAAGTACCGAAAAAAAATCAACAAATAGGTAGCCTAACACTGAAGAGGGGGTGATCGATGAGCTGGTTGGGGTAAACACCCCCATCCATCAGTGGTGTGCATTGATGCATGTGAGTTATCATCTGAAAAACTAAAAAATGTACCACCTCTCCCTCACTCTCTCTCTCATTCTCACCAACCCTAGTTACTAAAAATCGAGTGTGTCAGGATTAATTTCATAATTGTAATGCTTTCATGTGTGGTGTATGTATCATCTGTCTGTCTGTCTATCTATCTATCTATCTATCTAAACTTATCTGTATTTTTCCTTTGCACAGGCACAAATAAGTACATACAGAACAAACACATATACACACGTGTATCACACTTCCCCCCCCCCATACTTAAAACACGTATGAGACAAAATCGATGGACGGGTTGATGGATTGACAGACAGATGGATGTGTCAATTTGAAAGTGGAACTTGGGTGCGTGCGTGACGTGTGTATGTGTATGTGTACTGGTGTGTAATAGTGTGCCAAAAGCAATAGAATAATAAATTGGATTCAGTTGGAATAGAGGATATCAGAGGAACAATATTATTACTATAGTGACAATAATCGTTATTCTTACCCTTATTACAAATATTGATTGATAAATATTAGTTTTTACAGAGAGAGAGAGAGAGAGGGAGGGGAGAGGTGGGGAAATGAATGAATACATTTATCATTATCATTATTATCACTATTCTTATTGTTATCGATACGGTTTTGATTTCTATACATATATAGAATTTCCTTCAACGTGGATTTCAGTCGAAACGTCCAAAATCGATGGTGAAAAGTGAACGATTCAAGAATAAATCAAAGCGGTAAGTCTGCCTGTCTGTCTGTCTGTCTATCTGCCTTCATTCGTTTGGTTTGTTTCTGCTCATGTATATACTCTGTTGAATTCAAGCGTCGGTTTTAGGGTTACTTTTTTTATCACTGTTATTCCTGTAGGGACTGATTTGATCTCAAAAATGTGTGTGTGTGTTGTGAGTGCCGAACCGTCGCCTCCTTCATTTATCAATATTTGCTGACCCAGCAGTGGTCAATTCAACCAACCATAAATGCTTTGACAGTTTCAGTTTCACCTAACCCAGTTAACTAGGGGTCTCATAGGCTGCTGTGTACTAATGCCTTCTAGATAGCTGACAGTTTTTATTATTATTTCTCTGCTCCCGCAACCACACTGCGTCTCTTTTCTCTTATCTCTCCGCCGGAACTCAATCAGTGAGTCAGTCATTTAGTCAGTTAGAGAGTACCCAGAAACCGTTTTTGTCTTCTAGAGTTTTGCGAAATTTCAGCAGAATTTAACTTTGAAAACCCCCTCTCCCCCGTTTTGTAGTCTCAAGAATGGAAGGAAATAACAGGTACTCAGTACTCTGTTCTGATGAATTTTTTTGAATAATCGTCTGTCTAATTGATGATATCGATCGATTTGTGGTGGAAATTTGCCTTATCGATCATTCAAGAACTAGTTACCGATCACGAATTGACTGACACACGACCTCACCTTGTAGCCTTTTCTGAATCCAGCTTGTTCCGGTTTAGTGGAGTTCTGCATCCAATGCATCGTTTATTCTCTCCGGTATGACGCTGCTTAGTAATTTACTTGGCGTGGAGAAGAGTACAGTCAAGTGGCTTTACTCAACAGTGTACACCTGGACATGTTGACTGTTAGATTCCAGTGGTTGTTTCGTTGATGTGAAACGAAATGCCTATAAATCATTCCTCTGAAAACGATTTGCAAATCTTCTTACTGCGCTCCGCCTCAGCAAAAACAACAAAGTTAGGATTCCAATTAGCACCAATGGTAAGTCAGTCAGTCAGTATTTCTCAATGGCTCAGAGACTTGGGTCGTGCGTCATGCGTCGGTAGTGCAGCGGTTAGGACGCTCGCCAACCATGCACGTGGTCTGGGGCTCCATCTCCGGCCGCCTCACACCTGACATCAATGGTCGGCCTGCTAAATTCGGGCTACCGATATCACATGCTGAAAATTCCATAGTTATACCAAAATACTGTATGGAATCAAGTTATAAATAATTAAAAAATACAAACCACTTCCAACAGACCTACTGAAGGCTTTTATCGTTAGCTGCCCCCTTCCCTGGCTCTATATTGAAGATCAAACTGCCAGAAAGAAATAATTAACAACAAGAAACTTTGGTAGGGAACGAACCAATCATGAACCCAACTGCCTGTTCACAACAAATATTCTGAAGAAAATCCAGATGCACTAGACAAGCTCTGAGGAGACTGTTAACTGACAACCGGCTGATGAAACCTTGTATTCCACTTGGAATCCAAGGGAACTATTATGATGACGATGATAATAATAATAAGTGTTCCATGTTATCGAATTCGATACTTATTTGGCTGCCAGCTAATGAGTGAGTTAGTTACAGGTTAGACAGACCACTTCTTTTTCTACTAAAGTTTGCGTAGCCTGGTTAGCATTAACACTTTCAATACAACAATTGTTCCACAGCTAAATGCACTAACATTTAGATTATTCAGTAATCTAGTTGAGTCAGCCAGTCAGTCTGTCTCTTGTCTTGCACATTCTCTTCCATATGTCACCATAGGATGTATACCCAACTCCTAGCTAAATTTTTATTCAAGTTTCCCAACTCGAAAGCCTACCAGCCTGACAAGTGAGTTCAATCAACTGTCGTCTCTTCAGAGTGTGACGCAGTGCGTTCTTTATCATTTCATTCTGCATATCTGTTGGGCAGTAGGTCGTTGCTTATTGTTTATCCTTTTTCGCTGGCTGGCAGATCATCCGATCTTTAGTAGAGAATTAGTCAAATGGGGTAGTTTTTGACGACACTCACAATTCCAGCCACTACTGCTAACCTGGCTTTCTGTGGAATCTATAAAAATTCATAAATTCTGTTTTACTTCCCTTAACTTATCTGATAATCAATAAGCTTAGTGTTATATTGATTTATATTATCACTCTTAGAGATGAATTTGAACTGTATTCCATTATAATTATTCCCCTGGGTTCTGAGTGGAACATAGGGCTTCAACTGGTGTACATCTCCACTTTGTTCTATTTTCTGCTAACCCCTTTGGCTGACTAACCAAACGACCGCCCGTAGTCTCTCGTCTCCTCCTCCTCCTCCTCACTACACAAACTCCTCCACATCATCCTCAGATCCACACACACCCAACTCATCGTCTCCAACTCGGGTTCCACTCCATCGATGGCCTGGTTGAAGCGAGATGTCACTCATCAGTCAGCTGGGCAGCTGTTCATAGAAGCCTGTCACAGTAGACTGTTGGAAATGCTTTTCGTGAAGTGGTGACCGAGTTTCTGACCCAGATAGACGAAATGACTGACTGACTTAACATTGGTATTGAACAGAATCCGAATCTTGTTCGCCTCAATGCTTTCATGGAGAGAAGCGGGATATTTCCACACTGATTTCAGAGTGGTGAAGGGTGTGTCTTGCCTACCTCATTTCTTTGGCTACCTGGAAAGACCTCCCAACCGACTGCACGAACATTCCACATCCTCATGCTTATTTTTGTTTTCATCGAAAGAGTTTCACATGGGTTGACTGACTGGCTTCCTAAAGGCTTTCACCATGCCAGGAGGTGTCATTCTGTTCTCTCCGATTCCGGTGAATAATAAATGAATTTGTTTTTCATACTTTTTGTATTTTGAATATATTTTCTTGAGTGCTGAAGTTTCCATAGTTTATCGACTGGGTTAATTTTTCGTGGTTTGAGATTGCTAGCCCTAACCCTGGCCCAACCTCCTCTGTTTTCCCAGCCTTAGAGACCGTCTATAAATCAAGTGAGCGAGTAAACTAGGCTAGGTTCCATATTGGATAAGTTTAATTCATATATCATACACAGTGATGAGATGCAGTATTAACAACTGGATGACAAGGTTTCCAGCATAAATTATTGTCACTCATAATCATCATATCAGTTTAGTCACAATTTGTCTTATACATGCTGTTCTCTCTACCTCTGCCTCTTGTTGTTTGTTACCACTCTCCGTATCTCCAGTATAGGTGTTGTATCATTCCGATTGCACGTATGAGGTGAGCTGATTGGATAAACAAAAGATTCAGTGATTAACCTCCCCCATTCCTCACCCAGCGAATTACCTTCTAATACTAGCACCCTGTCCCACTAACAGAACCTGTTGTGTGGCTACATGAAAGTGAATTCTGAGTTACAGCCGCCGAACTCTGTTTTTTCCGGGTTATTTAATTTATCAGGGTCGGTCATTCTAAGTCCACCTAGATTTTTACGTTCCAATTATCTTACTGACCCTGATCTACTAGTTTGACTGGCCTATGTAACTGACCCACAGTCATTTTCATGGTATTTGGTAAATTATATTATTTTTTACAGGATTTCATCATGAGGTTACCTCAGTTAGAGAACTATCTGAAACCAGCAGGGGAGGGAGTAATTGACAACTGTTTCATCCCGCCTAGGTTGGGGCTCTTCAGCAGTGCGCGCCCACCACAGGAGTTCGAACCCAGCACCTTCTGGTATCAAGATGAGCTCGTAGGCCATTAAGCCACTGGGACCTGATGCAATGGCCAGTCCATGAATTCCAACTTCTGCCAATTCATTACATGGCAGAACCACTAGCCAATGTCATTACTGGTGAGTATTTGTCCTCACGCCCGACTTGCTGTATCCTACTGGCTTTCTACAAACATAAGTATAAATCAGTCTGAGGTACATATTAAAAATAGAATGCTGACTGGCGATTAGCATTCGTAAAATGAAGCCCCTTCTAACCCGCCCTCCCTCCGCGTCTCCATATTGATTAATAATCTTTATCTGCTAATTACTATGTTTAGATTAGATGTTGTGTGAAAAGTATTATCTCTTTTTTTTAATCCGCTGTTTCACTCAGTTTTCGCATGAAAACTGAAGACTGACAATTAGATTTGGCTGCTTGTGTATGTCTGATAGGATCACTTCATGTGTGTATATATTGCGCAAATAACGCATCACATCAAATCGAATCACGACAAACTCACTTTTCAGATCAAACGTCTCCGCTTGCTTCGTCTTCTTCTTCTTCTTGTACTAATCACATGGTGACGCTATTCTTTATTATTAAAACACATTTAGTACATGACAATAACGATCGACAAATATTTTCTTTCATATGCAAAATCGATATTTCTTCTTTTTTTAAAAAAATTTAAATTCCTTTTAATTTTCTGCACTGACGTACTAGACGCCAATTGGTTGACAAAGTAGCTGTAAACTGGATATTTTATAAATAATCACGTGATGAGATTGGTTCGTTTTTCTGTGCAGATGTGTGTGTGTCAACTACTCATTGATTGGTTGACTTATCCATTCAATATTTGATTGATTGAATGATCGATTGATCTATCAGTCAACTGATTCAGTTAGCTAAACTTATTTAGGGACATTCACTTTACGAAACGAGCTCGTTGACAATCATCATTCAGCCATTCGGATGGCGGGATTTCGATGGTCCATCCCTTTCACTGCCAGTCAATGTCACCAATGCAGATTATTGTGGTGGCACAGTGGTTAGGACTCTCGCCGACCATGCAGATGGTCGGAGGTTCGACCCCCTGCCGACGCACACCTGATATCAACGATCGGCCTGCAAAATTCGGGCTACCGATATCGCATGTTGAAAATTCCATACTTGTACCGGAAATACGGTGTGGAATCAAGCTGTAATAAAAAAATCAAAAAATATCTGTTTTGTCCCTCAGACACACATGACGACAAGTTGGTGGACCTCATAGTCATCACGATTCTTCATCAGGTAACTCGAGGCAGCCTTGTCCTCCTGTAGTCTA